AAAAAAAAAAAAAAAAAAAAAAAAAAAAAAAAAAAAAAAAGGACAGCCTCCCACCCATCACATTCTGGTGTCCGAATGTAGGCTTCACAATGAATCACTTTCTGTGCTGATTACAGTGACAGGCTCAGATTTCCGTCACTGCTGCCCACTGTCCAGTCAGTTGTTACACATGGCTGATTATTCTTAGGAAAAAGGTTGTGGATGATGATTATGCTCTCAGCAATACCCAAGATCAGGTGTGTTGTCCTTAGCAGGACCAAGCATAAAAAAAAGGTTTACAGGTAGAGTAGCCCAAGTTTTACCACCTTCCACACTTTACAACAAACACATTATTTGTACTTCTGATTAACTTTCCAGAAAACTAGAATATTTTAGTGTTTCTTTCACTGCCAATAGCAAGAAAAGTTAAATTTTTGCATTCAAACACCCAGAACATTTAATCTATGGAATACTATGTGTCCTTATGATTTTAAACCGCAAGAGGTGCGAATGAATACTTTATATATAAACTTTCCTAATGTTTAAAAAAGTATCAAAATAATAAGGGGGTTTTCTGAAGAGTATCAACACACATTTCTCAGTCATTTGCACTTTATAGATTCTTGTTTTTATGCCCTATATCAGACTTCCTCATTTACGGTCCTCTAGGTCCTGTGTCCTGCACCTTTCATATGTGTCCTTGTATGCACACCTCAATCGGATGGCTGAACCCCCTTCAGCAGGAAGTCCAGTTCTCTGTAGCATAGATGCATCTAAAGGTTGCAGGACGCTGAACCTTGAGGAATCCCATAACCTTAAAATCTAATCGTAACCCAAACGTTCATTATCTTAACTTTGAAAGAAACTTAGAGTTTTTTTTAAATCATTTTTAACAGTTCATAATGCTGTGGACCAGAACAAAAAGACAGATTTTCTTTACAGAACAAATAAATGAATGAGTTTGTAAATTGAAGTGGTGTTGTGAGTCTGCATCTTTATGCCTTCAGTCTGGCAAAAATAAACTTCAGGGGACATCCTTGTATTTCCAACCAGGAAGTTGTAAAATTCTACTTCTGAGGACAAAGAAAACAGAAAAAAAGCCTTAAGCTGTGTTATTCTTGTTTAAAAAAAAAAAAAAAACATGACATAAATCCTATATTTCCAGTCACTTTCTTTGAAAAAAAAAAGAAACTCTAGAAATAATAACATGTTAATATAATTACTTCTTTATGGAAAGACATGTGGTCAAAGTCTGCATGGGTAACACTAGATTGATTGTATTTTGAATGCATAAAAGAAACTAATATGATTCAAGGTGTTTAAACTCACCCTTGCATTGTATGCATGGCTCTGTTTTAATGTTATTTTTCAAATTGCGGTTAGTCCATTCATGGAATAATACCTGACTCCAGATTTAGGGAGTGTTCAAGTGCTTAGATGAAAAGGAGGTTTCCCTCTTTAGTCATTATAACCCCTAAGGGCGTGTTCTGAGAAACTTTCAAGCCGGATTTCCCTCGCTGACTGATGCGATTCCTTCCTGGAGAACAATGATAGGTTGCTTTTACACAAATAAATCATGGAAGTAGCCACTTTTTGAATGACTGTCAATATATTTGTAGTTTTCTTGGTATGCATCTAGTTATGCAGTAACCCAAATTTAGAATTAATTAATGTAACTTTTTCCAATACAGGTAAAATACTTTAGGTATTAAACATAACCATGACTTATGGATGTTCCTACCTCGGACGCATTTTATGGTCCTAAATAGAAACTTTCCATATTTATCACACTCGTGTTTCTTAAAATTTCCTCTCAGACATTGTCAGACGATGAGAATTGTTTTTTTGGTCTGTGATAATATAAAAAAAAAAAAAAAACGAAAAGAAAAGAAAGTCTATTATTATCCGTCGGCAAGCTTCTGGTCCATTCAGTGGGAAGAGGGAATCCCTCAACGTCACCAAGGATACCAAACACAACATCTAGTCAAATATGGGCATGTACGTCAGCGGAACTCCGAGGCGGGACTAGTTGTTATAGAAAACAGAGTTTTTTAGCGGATGGCTTTCATTCATGAGTAAGAGATCTACTACGCCGCACCGTGAAAAACCCGGCCGGTGTCCACCACAGCCTCACTGTTAAAGGACGCTTCATGGATGTATAACCGCATGTCGCTGTTTGAAGAGCAGAGCGCGAGGAGTTTTTCTTTACCGATATAAACCAGGAGTTCCTCAAGAATTTAAACTGGAGCGATTTCTCCCTCAGCGAGGGGAGCTGGATTAAGTTTCTTCATGCAACTGTTTTGGAAAGAAACTAAGACCATTTCACCGGGAAACAACACAAAGATTAAAGGTAAGAGGCACAACTTTCTGCTGCTGCAAAGCAGCTTTTATTGGTATCTAACAGGAGGAGTTGTAAAGAAACAGAGTTAAGTTTGATTGTCTCTTCCCTGCTAGTAATATAGGTTGTTTTCTCCCAACAGTAACCCTCCCTTAGTAACCTTCTTGCTGCCCTGCCGCTGCAGGTGACACCGCGCGCTCTCTGGTTATCGCAGGTGCCGCCTTCTCTTTCAGTCCCTCCGGGGAGATGTACCAAGGGTTCCCCGGCGACCCCGACAGCGGATCCCGTGGAAGCTCGTCTCCCTCTATAGAGTCCCAGTATCTATCCTCCGTGGACTCCTTCGGGAGCCCGCCCACCACCAGTGCTCCGCAGGTAAGTTGGTGTTAAGAAAGCATGCTGCTTGCTATTATTATTCATTAACATTCATTGTTTTAGTTCTGCAGTGATTTTTTTAGTTCAAGCGGACTATATTAGCTCTATTTTTACTGTTTTATGCACTATAAACATTCAAATAGTTCATCTTTAATAGAGCCGGTATAACTCTGGATTTAGCTGCGTGTGAAAAGCGTGGATCAAGTTTCCCAGTGATCTGTTCTTTGCGGCTGTGGCGCTTCTCCTCTCCGACAGCGTGCTCCGTCACCGGCACGCGGCGCCGCAGAGCTGGAACTCCCTACGTAAGCTCCGCTCTCCGCTCGCCGTGACGTAAATGCGTGTTCTATTTTGGAGCGCCACGTCTCGTTGCCAAGGGAAACACCAGGGGTTTGACGAGAGGTGGGGAGGAGTTAGGGAGACGTTTGAAGAAGAAGAACGATTGGTCGGTGTCTGCAGCTTTTTGATCCGCCTCTCCCAATGTCTTTACACGCTTTCAGACGAGTATTAAAAGGCAGAAGTTGTTCCTCCGCGGCGCTAAAATAAACCTGGAAACAGGACAAGCGAGACATCTCACCATCTGCGTTTTTACACCCATGTATAGTTCCCTCCCCATCAAGAATCGGTTCATTGCAACCCAGTTTTCTTCACTTTAAAGCCGTCAGATGCAGTTATTTGAAACAGAATTTTAATTGGATTAATTTATATTGCAGCAATTTACGAAAATATAATCAGCTTTCTGGCAATTCGAAACTGATCCTTTTATAAGTTACAGTCAAATTCAGTTTGTCATGTCAGCTTTTAAGGAACCCAATTATAAGAGCAGTTAAATAACGTTGGAGATGAGATGTTGAAGGTGTTTCCACATATTTTAATTTAATAGGCCTATTGAATACATTTTTTTTAGACTTAAAAAATAAGATTAGTTAATTATTTTGGTCAAAATCAAGCAATTTTATTGTAAAACTATAAAAGCAAATGATAAGAAAATGTTTTCTTAAGTGCCTCAACAATTTAGTCTAAGCAGTTATTAAATAGATCTGTTAGATTGAAGCAATAAAACAAGTTAAGGATTAAAAGCATTAAACTGTGTAGCACTTTCTATGTTCTGCTTTTGGTACAGTTTGCATGGACTGCGGTTTAAATTGGCATAGAAAGGTTGGGAAGACCCTATAACAGATCTAACACAACACTTAAGCCAGTCAGTTCCTCTCACTGTCCTGAAGGAAACTCTCTACCTGAGCTGTTATTTATTATATTATAAGCCAATTTGCAAAGTCGTATACAGTCTATATATATAATGTTGTGATATTTCAAAAATAGAACCTCTAACTCTAACCCTTTTGCCTGTCTTTGAAACTTGTATTGAAACTAATTTGATTAAGGAACTCTCTGCTTCTACTATTTTCTAAAGAGGTTATAGGCTGTTCTTCATTAAGCAGATGTATGGTTTAAATTTGGCTTGTAGAGTTGCATGCATACATATATTAAAAATCTTTACATTTCTTGTTTAGGAGTGTGTGTCAGCAGGCACCGGCTTGAGCATTGTGGGCAGCGGGCCAGGGAGCGGTGTTGGAGGTGAGATGCCCAGTTCATTTGTGCCCACCGTCACCGCCATAACTACCAGTCAGGACCTGCAGTGGATGGTGCAGCCGACGCTTATCTCCTCCCAGGCCTCTGGGCAGAGTAGCTCCACTGGCACTACCACCATGACTCAGCCAGTGTCACTGGTGGACCCGTACGACATGCCGGGACCCAGCTACTCCTCTGGGTCCTGTTTCACTCCTCCCAGTTCAGAAAATCCAGCTCCAGCTGCGCCGGGCCCCATCCGGCAGTCCAGGCCCCGCAGCCGCCGTGCACGAGACGAGTCTGTGAGTGAGGATGGAGATGTTGGTGTGTTAGTAAGTCTGTGTGCTTGAGAAGATTTGTCTGTTGGGTGAAGGTAAACGCCTCACATGAGAACAAAGGAAATCAAATCCAGCTATTGTGCACTCTTGTTGACTTTGTGGGTTATGGTTAGCGAGTGGAAATGCTACAACTTATCCAGATGGCTCTTTGTAGCAACATACAAAGAAAGAGCAATGCAATAAAAAAAAGAGAATCTCCAAATTGTTTTGCTGATTGTCAGCTGGAATTATAATTAGTTGTTCTTGCTGTTATCAAAACAATTTATTCTTCAGTCAGATGGTAAATGAGAATAATGTGATAGAAATCCCTATTCCAAAACATCTCTCAAAGGAGAAAATACAGTGTTCCCATTTCAGTGTGCCTGATATCAATACACATATTTTTTAAGCATGAGCAAAAACTTTTAGCACCTAAATGTATTTCTTTGATTACAGTTAACACCTGAGGAGGAGGAAAAGAGGCGGGTTCGTCGTGAGAGAAACAAGCTGGCTGCTGCCAAATGCAGAAACCGTAGACGGGAACTGACAGACAGACTGCAGTCGGTGAGTTCAGCCATGCTTTGGAAGCCAGAATGAGTGATGATGATCATTACACAGACACTCCCATTGCATTGTGAAGTATGCTAATAATAGTTTACATCGGTACAGAGGGAATAGGATAATTGTAATTTGTGTTTAGCTGTTACGGGAAAAGACATTAAGGTTTGAAGAAGGACTATTGTACCTGTTGTATTTAAGGCCTAATTAAGGAACTTACTGTAAGGCATATTACCTGTAAAGGAGAAGAGCATCAGAGCTGAGGGGAAAAACAGGAAGACATTTTTTGCATACATCTATGCCATTTTAGCTGAGCCATTTGGGCATTAGGTGAGAAGATTTTTCTAAAAACCCAGGCAGAGGTTTTGTTTTTTACCTATGGAGATGTATGGAGGTGGCAGCATCATGCCGCTTCACCCCCCATTGCACTAGGTATTGGTGTACTGTACTCTTCATCATCAGACGCAAAAAGGTTGCACTCTTGCCTGTGTTTGGAGTTTCAGCTGGACAATAATCCCAAACTGGTTTTGATAAGAATCCAGTCAATGGCTACAGAAATCTCTCGGTTCTCTTTAACTTGCTTAAAGGGTTCATAGAATGCAAAATCGAGTTTACATTGACATAGATGAATAACGATAGTTCAGTGGGTGAAATGGACATACAGGGAAGTTGAAACCCCATTGACACTTCCTTTCTCTGCAAATCTCACAATTCTAAACTTCCACCATAAAACGGGTGAATTCAAACAAAGCACAGAATTGACGTCAATTCGGGGATGTTGCCTTATTTGGTTCTGGCCTGTACTTTTGTCACGCACCGAAATTGACATACAGACCAGCCCACTGGTTTGCTGGCCCAAATGGGGGAATGAAGTGTCGACTGCTGGGCCGCTGACTGGACAGCAGAGAGCCATGAGCTGCCCGTCCTCAGCCGGGGGAGGGGGGCTGGGGGCCGGGACATCCCAACTCTCCCGGAAGTTCCGGGAGTCTTCTTGATATAGATATTTGTTCACGGATGCCCACGAGACGGATAAATTATTCCGGATTTTAGACTGTGCGAGGTGGTGTTTTATTAATGCAAGAAGGAGCGTGCAGGCAATACTATAATTCGTGCACCATGTGCTCATTCGAACTACTTCGATTGCACTGGCACAACAAGAGAGAGCGGGGTGTGGGGAGGAGGTTGCTTGTGAAACCGGTGCGTATCTGTAGTCGAAATTCCCCCCAGAAATTTTTTTAGGTATGAAAAGTAGGACATGTCCAGGAAAAAGGGGACATCTGGTCACCCTACCATATCAACAATTACGATGTTTTTGAGTGCTTGTTGCTATGATGCGTCTTTACTCAGCAGCTTCACTTGTTTTTAACCAATCAATCAGCGCACAGCTCAACTCAATATTCATGAGCATACAATAAAAGGAAGAAAACCTGCCATTTCATTCTAGAGCTTTTAACCAGGCCTGCATTAGGACTCATAGAACAGCAAATATGCCATTTTCAGCCCCACCATTGTTACACACCCTATTCAGAGACCTTAAGGACCAGCACCAAATACCTTATATAATAATTCTATGGCCCCATTAAGGACTTTTAATAAAATATTTGTGAGGATTAAGTTATATATTTGAGAATTTATGTTTGTTTTTTACTCTTTTTGGATGAGAGAAAAGCTGCTGTAAAGTTACATGTGTACACTCAATGTTTAAATTCATGAGAGTTTTTGGTTTTATGGCCATTCCACATTTCAAGAAAAGGGATTTTATTAACTAAGTATTATGGCAACTTAAACCTCTAACCAGAACTGTAAAGCAGAAATGCATATTACAAATATTTTTAAACTGCATGTAGCTCACCTTTATCCTTCTTTTTCCTCCCAACTCCACCCACCTTTGTGTGGTTCCCTTCCCCTCTGTAACTCCACACAGGAGACTGACGTACTAGAGGAGGAGAAGGCAGAGCTGGAGGCAGAGATCTCAGAGCTTCAGAAGGAGAAAGAGCGTCTGGAGTTTGTACTGGTGGCCCACCAGCCAAACTGCAAGATTCCATACCAAGATCCGGCTCAACAGCCTTCAGCGACGCTCACTCAAGTGCAGTCCCAGCTCGCTCCTCAGAACCTGCAACCTCCAGTCTCCATTGTGGGTTTGACTGTGAAGGAGGACTCTTTCTATCTCCCTCCTGCCTACACGGCTCACCCGACCCACACACAGCCCCAGCCTCCGGTGCAGCAGCAGCCGCAAGTCCAGCAACAGCTCCCCCAAGCAGGCATGATGCAGGAGGTAGAGTTTTCTAGTTCTTTCTACGGCTCAGCTGAGCCAGCCCCTGGTGGGCCATGCCTCATGGCCAGTGACAGTGGTGGTGGTGTTAACCATGACGATGCTGCCATTGGCAGTTACAACACCTCATACACATCTTCATTTGTGTTCACCTACCCAGAGGGAGCCTGCGGGGTCAGTGCCAACCAGCGGAACAGCAGTAGCGAGCAGTCATCTGATTCCTTGAACTCGCCTTCCCTGCTGGCGCTCTGACTGACCGACAAACATATGCATGCACAAATTGCCACTAACACACCCCATGCTCATTGGATGCAGAGGCTGACACAAGTACAATCATCAGTCTCCCAGATTGAGGAAAAACAGTATGCCAATCATTTGAAACCTGATTGGGTGACTTTTCCAGAAATGCATTCCTATAAAGAGCCATAGAAAATAAAAATGCACTTCAGATTGAACCTTTCATCATTGAGCTACAGCAAATAGTACGTTGTTATTTTTATATTTAGTCGGATATTTTGAACAGGGCACGACTGACAAGTTTAAAAAGTGCGTCACAAAAACCTGCAGGCCTTTGAAAAAGTATTTAAACCCCTTTAACTATTCTACATTTTGTCATGTTAAACCACAACCTTGAATGTGTCAAATTGTAACAGAGCACCAGGAAGTAGCTGATGATTGCTGCATAACATTAGACTGATATGCACTAATTTTTAGCCCCACTGAGAAAATTATTTTATTTTTTGGTCTTTTATGGTTTCCCTTTGACAGCTTTATGCTTCAGAATCAATGTTTTGTTTATTGGTCTTCGCCAAAAAAAAAAAAATGGCTGCTTGGTTTTAACGTGACAAAGATCTAAAAGTTTCGAGGTGTAAGAGAACTTTTACAAGGGACTGTATGTTACCAATCTAAAGTGCTCTGAATTAAAGAACTAATTCACAATGAATTTTTTTAAAATTAAAATACTCTCATTGAGTAAAGCACATCTTAAAGCTACACCCCAACGAGCACCAGTGCCCCTACCTTGTTCCCTCTGTCGGTTGCCCTTCTGCTAGTGCTCTTGCTTTCATTCTTTTCCATTATCTTTTTTCTCGTCTTCCTTTTTTGTTGAATGTATTTGTGCAAATCAGAAAATAAGGGACCAAGGACAATATGTTCGGGGTCTTTTCTTGTGGAAGACAGACCGCTCGCTCGCTCACTTGTAACCCTTCATTTGCTCGGCTGCTCTATATGCTTCTTCATTTGCTGCTTGGACTTGGCAAGATGAGGATCTGAGTATTACAGCCTCTTTTAAATCTTGTGCTTTATGTAAAAAAAAAAAAAAAGAAAAAAAATTTCTTCCACCGTCTGCCTACCTGCCATGCGACCCATCTCTACCCATCTCTGTTTTTTTTTTCTCCTCTTCTGTCTGTTTTATTTCTCCCTCTCTCTTTGAAGTCCTCAACCACTGAGAGCCCGGAGAACCCCTCCAGCCCCTGGGACCTTGAGTGAAAATGCCGGCGCAACTAACATTCCCCACTTTTACAACCCTGTAATTCAAGGATCTGGACGTCCTAACAGAAGAAACCTCTCCTTGGAGTTCATTGCTCAGATTCCTTTGACTTGGAACAGCAGCTATACGTACATTTGACACGCACAGGGATGCATGAGGCACAACATGAAATGCCACTGTCTTCTGCTGAGCCATTTTTCATGTCATTCACACAATGAAGATGAAATTCATTTGCTGTGCTGGAAAGTAAAAAGCTAATATATACTGAGGGACAGAGTGAAGGCAATGAGGAAAGAAACATGGAGAAAATCTCATCCGTTTCAGATCTAAATAGGATAATGCAAGAGAAAGAAAGGAAGGAAAGCATTTCTGTGGAGATGTGACCCCGGAAAAAAAACAGCTTCACGTCGCAGAAGCTCAACACCCATGGCGACACACAGATACTCCCATCAGGTCACTGAAATCTGCAGCAGCTCAGACTTGTATCAGATGTGAACCAATGCCTTCGCAAAGAGGAGGGACTTTTATCATAAAAAAAAAAAAAATAACTCTTTCAGACAACCTCTAAATACTGGGCTTGGTGGTCTCTGCCTCCTGTCCCCTGTTCTCTCTGTCCAGAGCTGAGGTTTTAGGGGATAGGGGAGGTGTTTATTGTGAGTGGGTCCACTCTGAGGCACCTAGCCCGTTTATTTCTTTCTTTATTGAGGTTGAAATGTCGATCCGAGCACAAAGCAGGACCCGGAACCGAAAAAAAAAAAGAAAGAGAGAGAGAACACATGGGCTAATGTTGTGGAGTGAGCGCCCCTTCTTCTTTTTCGCCTGTGAATTTGTTTTTTGTTTTTTTTTGCCTGTATTGTTTAAGTGAAGACTGTTTTATATTTCAATGTTTGTTTATGTGACTCATTGTTTCTTGCTTTCTCTTGTACTGTTGCCATTTTTTATTGTTATTATTTTAATATTCCGTTTTGTTCAATTTATTCGGGAGACTTCCTAACTGTTACTATTACTGTTTCCTTGTAACAATTTTTTTTTTTTTTTATGTTTTTTTTTTTTATTATTATATTTTCATTTGGCAACTTTAGAGGCATAATATGTGCACTACAAAAAAGAAAACAAATCGAAATCTCAATCTATATGCATACACATTTAAACGGTAACATGTATATGTATACGTGTTATGTACCATGATTGTAATGTATGAATGTCTGCAAATATAAATGGGATATTTTTGTCAATGAAGAACAAGGTAAAAGTACAAAAGATAGTATTTAAAGATACATATTTTTATATAGCAGCAAAAAAAATGAATATAAAGTACTGCCCTGTCCCTAAACATGAAGCACGATGTCACTGCCTCTGTCAATGTGTATTTATGTTTTATAAACAATATAAAGCACTATTCAATTTACATTTATTCTATGTTTATAACGATGATGTTAAAAGGTTGTGGTTTTTGTTTGTGAGGTCTGTCCTAAAGCTACTGACCCCTTAATGCCACCAGTGAGTGAATGTCAACAGATGTATTTGTAACCTGGTTCATTTTAAAGGTCAAAGTTTCACACAGAGTTTTCTCATTTGTCCTGAATTATCCCTTAACCTATTTGCAGACGTATTTGTTTGAAGGATAACATTTATTCTTGTTCTCAAAAATTGGTTAAAAAAATGTGATTGTGTTTGTTAAAAAAAGAGGCTTTATTTTCATCTAATAAATCTGCTTATCAAAAACATTGGCAACATTAAAGGGTTTCTGCAAGATCCTAAGAAGTCAATAAAAATCTTCAATATTCGTTGTTTAGGAGTTGATAAGACTTGAATACACAGAGAGTGTTTGTAAAGATTTAATTCTGAAATTATATTTGGCTATGTGTTAAATTTGAATGTTTATCTGTTTATTGATTTGACCAGCTTCTTTTTGGTATTTATTTTTATGAGATTAATGATGGAAACATATTCTTCCATTAACTGTTACCCTGACTAAGAATTTAAGGAGTTGTCACAATGCTACAAAACTACAAATCATATAATGAATTGAAGCAATGGGCTATTTAAAAAGGACAGCTTTTCCTGCAAAGCTGCAAAGAAATCCTGCTTCCAAAAATGGCTTATTGTAAGTTTAGGCAAGAAATTCCAAATGTTCTTACTACGTTAACTAGTATTTGCACTTTAAAATTCTATGTGTACCACAACTAAAAACAAGAATTTCAATATGGCTAAAAAATGTTGACAGCTTTATTTTAATGGTATATTACATTTAAAAAGCTGACAACATTTGAACAAGAAAGGGGATAAAAGTAAAATTTGTAATTCGATTTTAAAGTGGTTTGTTTTTTAAGATATCTAGTCAGTTGAAAATCTCAGATAAAAATTAAAGAAAATAATAAAGGTATTTTCAAAATAAATGTAGGTTCTATATTTGGTTATGCATATGGTTAAAGAAAGTCCTTAAAAGTCATAGATTTTGCTTAAACTTGCAGAAACCCTGGTCCAACTCCATGCATATTTCCCCTGACTTGGCTCCTGGGGTCAGAATAAGGGGCAGACCTTGTGTATTTTTTTTTACTTTATTTTTTCTAATCTTGAATAAGGACTGTGTAAAAATACTGGAGATGCCTTTTTGACTTCCTCCAAAACTGCAAATGTGATTAAATATACTGGTGTCAGAGTAAGCATAAAACATATTCAATAGTTCTCATGTACATAGGTTTTCGTGGTGCTAATTATACAATACGAGGCAGATCAGAAAATGTTAAGTGGTGTAGAGGCTGCATCCTACCACTCTGCAGGGGCTCAAAGTTAATGGAAAGCTCACTTTTTTCCTCATTTAGGACTGGAAACCAGTTATTGGGATTTTTTTTAAAGAGAAAAATGTCTAAAAGCCAATAGTTTATTATCAACTGCCTGCTTCATCTTTATTTGTTATAAACTGATCTCTGAAGGCACTCCACCTCAGTTATCCCCCCATCATCATCATATGGTTTCATCTGTTTGAGTTTGCTTGGAATATCTCTAAGTTTACTATAAAAAAAAAAAAGCTCCTGGCCAATTGATTGGAAATGGTGACTTTATAGAAGGAAAATAGAGGTATAGGCAGCTTAATAAATCTGAGACAGAATCTGCCTGCATCTACATGTACTGTAATGATGCAATAGCATTAACTATAAAAAAAAAAAAAAAAGATTTCTTATTTTTATATAATGAGGAGAATGTTGCCATGTGTTTCTATTTCCTCCGTACATCTCTGACATTATCCCTGGTATGAAATGCAATACTTACAGTCTGAACATTATGTAGCATATTCAGCAGTAATTAGACTGACTGCTATTATGTGTCAAGCGTGATGATGTATTGCTTTACCATCAACTTTTGTTACAGTATTAAATATTACTATGTCAATAAATATTCAATGGAACATTTATTTTGAGACAATCTTGCTGAAAGACAAAATAATTTTGGAGATATGTATATTTTTTTTATTTATTAATGATAAATGGAGGGAGGATAGGCTCAAACTTTTCAGAAAGCTTTTGTTTTTGTCTGTCCCTTTTTACTGTTTTTAGAAGATGTCATTTTCTGTTTTTTTTTAGGAGCAAATGTTTACTGAATATGTAGAAAGAAAAATAAAGCAAATGTGAAATATTTTTGAAGTTATGGCCAAAGAAGATTTAACTTAACACCTTATTATAGGCGCAGGGTTACATTTATATTAATTTCAGAAGGGTTCTTAGATATAAATGGCATTTTTAAAGTGTTTCTAACCTGCTATGTGTTGACTTTAGCCTCCGGTACTTCTTACCGTTCTGAAAGGTTTACCTCATAGAGGTTTTCCGCTCAGTTTCTTGATTGTACATGTTGTGGGAGCTTTAACTTTTACTGATGGTTTCACCACATACCATTTGAAGTTTGTGACGAAAAACGTAAATAAAGAGCATATCAGAGATAATTTT